GGAAAGACTGATCCTCGGACATTGCATTGTGTTTTCCATTTTGGTCGAAAGAGCTGGTAAGCTTGTTCAATTTGGTTGGTTTGGTGTTTCCCATAGCTAGGTATTTTAATGTATTTAAGAATTTAGAGGAAGATTAAAACAAAGACAACATTTTATTGAAAGTTGAAACTGAAAAAGGAAACAAGGGTACTAAGAAGTATGGTACCGGGTACCCAGCAATGAGGGGAAATAGGATAATAATTAAGAACTATGATCATGTTAAACCAAACCAGGATACTAATCATGTTCAATCAAATAGCGTCTCCTAATCATTTCTATATGTATTTGGTTTCCTTCAGTCATGTATCTGTCAATGGCATAAGATCTTTGAACCCTTTTTCTCTTTCATATATCTAGTGTGTTGACAGACATTCTTGTGCTACATGTTTGTTTTTTAATTTAGTAACTGACGAGATGATGTTGGTCTTGACAAATATCCTTCAGTGTTCTTATCTTAACTCTCATGTAATACAAAGAAGTGAAACATTTCAATCCTACTCAAAGGATGTTATAAGCCATAGAATTGAAATTTTGACATTCTTTATTTTGCTTTCGAGAACTTGCGATTTTTATGCTGTTTACGTGTTTGATCACTGTAGGTTCAAAAGACGTGAAAGATATATATTCTGTATTAAAGGATTGTGCTGCCGAATTAACTGAAAAAAATGACACCATAAACTATCAGGTGAGCATCAACACTTTCCTTGATGTAGAAGTTTTATTAGGCCTGCTTCTTGGAGATTTGACTGACAGTCCTTCCTTGCTTATTGATTCTAAAAATGTTCTATCTAAAAAGTCATTGATGTCTTTCGTTCGTGCAGATTTCATATAGTCTTCTATTTTCTCTCATCATAGCTTTCGTATCAGATGCAATCAGCGCATTATCCGATAAGTCATCTACACTATCTCAAGATGCTTCTTTTAGGAAAGAGTTTCAAGATATTGTAAGATGAATTTGATGCAAATTTTGCTACCAATACCAGTCCTTCTCTTGAGCCATTGACGAGTTTTCTAGCTTGCTAATATCCATTGCATATTTCAGGTGATGGCTACTGGCAATGACCTAATGGTTGATGGCTTTGTGGGTGGCATAAGGCTAGCTTGGGTTGTGCATTTAATGTTAATACATGATGGAATTTCTGGAATGGATACGGTTTCTAGTGCTTCAACGACTGATTTGGGTAATATATGCTCCTGCCTGGAGTCCGTTTTCTCAAAAAATGTTTTCCAATTTTTGCTGGATAATGTCCTACGAACTGCAGCCTACCAGGTACTTTTATGTTGAGCAATTATTTTCATTATCCAAAATTCTCTATGTACAATTACATACAAGGATCTGTGCTACCACTATATGGTTACCCTACTCATTTCGTAATATGCTAATTTAGAATATCAGTTTGAAGTTTATCTTGATCGTCCTGATATTTTTGCCTTTTACTTGAACACAAGCTAAGTTAGACGATTAGTGTGAGAGTCATCGCCTGGATGGTTTTCCGTATGCAATGAGCTATGATGCATGGGGCATGGCATCAATATATGAGAAAACAAGATAGCTTCTCCTAGTGTATCAATGTTACTTTAATTTATGATGTCATTAATGTAGATTTTGTGATTTCGTTGTTTTATTCTTCAATGGTTGCCTCTGCTGTATATGTCCTCTTTGTTCTTTCCTATACTAGCCACTCACAAATGTAAGAATGTTCCTAAACTTTGATGTATGATCTTTGTGGTCCAACTATACTTTTTCCTTATGCAGAATGATGAAGAGGACATGGTTTACATATACAATGCGTATCTACACAAGTTAACCACTTATTTTTTGTCTCATCCAATCGCCAGAGACAAGGTTTGTTAAATATTATTGTTCCTGCTCTAAAATGAAGATCTTTCTAGGCCAGTATTTGTGAATTTTGAGCTTCGGTTGTTGATTAAAGTTTTGCGTATTGCAACTTAATCGTGAAGAGCGTAGCCATATGATTTTTTTTTTTGGTTTTCATCCCGTGTGTTGAAGATTGATAATTGTTTCGGAAAATAATGGTTCTTTTATTACATCTCTGCTCTTCACAGCGCCACGAAGAAAAAGAAAAGGGAGGGCATCCATGAATGAGTAAATGTAACTTGACAAATAAGTCATGGTTTTCGAAAATATCAGCTTAAAAAATTTTTAGGCTGTTTGTACTTGCAGGATTTGAATGGTGTAGAAACTCATAAACCTTTTGGTTTTACAAACAATATGAACTAGCTTCTGATGTTTGATAGAACTGTCTGGAAAGTTTATTCATGAGCCGAGGTGCCTTGTAATGTTTAAGTGATACATCCATGTTTTTAATTTTTTTATGCCTCAAGAAGCCTTGTCCTATCCTTATTTTACAGGTTAAGGAAGCAAAGGACTTGGCTATGGGTGTTCTTAATTCTTACAGAACTCGTGGATTGCTTGACAGCAATATGCAGACTGAACAGGCTGTTGACAGGCCATTGCCCTTCATTTCTCTCATGGAATTTGTCAGCAAAATTTATCAGGTTGAGAATTGTTAATGGATTGAACTCCCCCCCCCCCCCTTTTTTTCTTAAA